TTACCTGATATGTAGGCCATATTCAAATTTCTCCAAATGCCAAAAAAAGTCCTTTGTAACTTTTTTTTTAAAATCAAAGATTCAATTAAGCTTTACACATTACATTTTGTTGTCCTGTCTCTTTAGAGTCATTTGATCTAGAACTGTCCTCTCATATTTTAGTTTCTTGGCCTTGATATATTTTAAAAAGCCCGAGCCAACTGCTTTTTGGAACATCCTATATTATAAATTGGCCTTGTTGCTTTTTCATTATTAGATTTACTTTAAAAGTCTTGACAAAGACTCCACAGGTGATATGCATTTCCYACTGATTTATAGAAGGAGACATGCAAGGTCACTTAATATCCACTTTACTCATCCACACTATGGTTAATAACTTGGTCGTAGTGTGTCTGATCTCTTCATTGTGAAATGATTTTTATCCTTTGAAATTAATATCATGATGATGATGAGTTGAGACTATATGAATGATCCTATCTCTAGGAGAGCCCAATGGTTTTAGTACCTACTGTGATCCTTGTTTGAATCAGTTATTACACTGGAAGTTGACATCTTCTGTAAAGATGTTTTTCTTTATGCTCCCTTCCCCTTCTTCTAAAGATTTTTTCTAAATGTATGATATTATAGGTTATTTCATTCCCTTCTTTTTTAAAAATCTCAAACCAAACCAATTTTGATCCTTCAAACCAACTTTTACGTCCCATCAATCCTTGGACGTTTCTTTTCCGACTCATCAAGATGTTCCAAACTGTTCCAAGCTCACCTTGTGCTTTAAATGCCCCAATCTGAAGTCACCTTTCCTAACATTCCTCCTTCTGAGGAATATTTAGGAGCCAAAATCAAGGGAATTAGGTGTTCTGGTCATTAGTAGGTTGTGGTTTGCAGACCTTTTCAGAGGACAGAGCCAGAGCCAGTGGGGATGGCTGGGGTAGAGAGAGGAAAATACACAAGTGCACACGTACGGACACATGACCACAATACCTCCAGTGCAAAACCAGTAACACGGGGATTTTCTTTGCCTTCTTCCATTCTGTATCTCATGTATACCATTGTGTCCAGCCTGATTTACAGAGAGTAATAAACTTACTCATTTTTAATGCTCATTTTTTTAAAAAATGTATTTTCAAAGAGTCTCAGCAACATTAACATCTTTAAACACTTATATTTAATCTCAGAGGTACCCACACTGTCCTGCAAAAGTCACACACAGCAAGCTCATAGGCCTTTAGATAATAACCAGAGATAATACAGTCAAAACTCGAATTGGACTGCTTTATCATGGCTGCCATTGGCTCTCCAGAGTACCACATAGGACAAAGTTCACAACAGATTACTTGTGACTGATAGAGGACCTATTTATTTCCCTTTTCAAAATCCAACCTCTGATGTTTGCCACTTGTTTCAAGATAGTTCCACAGGGTCAGGGGGAAAGAGAAGGGATATGGCAGTGGCCATAAGTTCATGATGTCATAGTTGATGTGCAGGGGTATGGCTTTTGTGCTATTAATGATAAAGCCGCTAATGCCATCATGGGGCCTCAACCCCATGACCTTATCTAATCCTAATCACCTACAAAATACCATCAACATATGAATTTGGAGACTGTTTCCAACACATTAGGGAGACACATTCAAACCATAGCAACCTCCAAAAAATAAAACTTCACCATTCATGGAAAGAGTGACTTCATTCTACCTTCAATTTTATCTAATAACTTGGTAATGAAAGAGAGATTGGATGATTAAAGCATTCTTTACTTCAGATGTCCCAATTCCCTTTGAGATCAGTGGTTCAAATTCCTCTCATAGTCCAGTGTGAAAGCTCTTGGACCACATCACGACATGGCATCTGCCATCACCAGATCTGCTGTGAGGGAGGCGCAATTTAGTACAACAAAGGATGATATATGTGTGAGCCCCAAACTTGCAAAACCCAATTATTCAAAAGACAAAAACAGTAAATATGACCAGGATTTTCCATGTTGATCTGATGTTGGTGTTTCTGAGAAAGATGTAGAACCTTTCCAAGAGAAAGGGAAGCTGAACTTTGAAGACTTATGTCACTCATTAAAGCATAAAAATGAATTTAAAATGACACTGGGCATGATAATCTCCTGTCAAGCCTATTTCCTCCATTTCATTTCATCAGCAAACAGCAAAAGGTTAGTAAAATGAAGAACTACAACTATACAGTAGGAAGCGGGGAGGGGAGCACATTGGAACTTGATCTCTTTCAGCTACCAAATGCAGCCCACCAAGGATTCATTCTGACAAACAAAAAAGCATTCTTGGCAGAGCTACAGGGCACAGGGAGGCTTCTCAATCTAGAACACAAATGATCTCTGCTATAAACGTGCAACACTGGGAAATGCATTTTAACAAAAAAGTCATGATCCAAGATGAGAAATAACTCGAAAATTTGGGCAAAAGAATCTGGTAGCTTGAAAATAGTCAGATCACATTAATCCTCTGTGTACATTAATGTATTATAACCAAGAATGCTATCATTTTCAGTACTCAAGTTAGTAGTAGACAATGCAAGAACCTCTGTTTTCAGGAACATAAGTACTTTTTTGGAAAAATATGTTGTTTCGGACTTGTCTGAGATACAAATCCTCAGCCAGGCAGGATGGCACATGCCTGTAATCCCAGGGACTCTCAAAGCTGAGGCAGGAAGATTGCAAATTTGAAGCCAGCTTGTGGAACTTAAAGAAACCCTGTCTCAGAATAAAAAATAAAAGGGCTGGGGATGAAGCTCACTCATAGAGCACCCTAGGTTCAATTYCCAGAACCCAAACCAAACAAACAAGAAAAGAAAGGAAGATGTGGCTGCTCTGGCTGCCCACTCATCTCACTACACTGAACCCATATTAAGTCATCATTTTTTCCTGAGCAGGGGAGATATGTCAAGCCAGCCCTAGGGCAAGACTACACTGGCAGCAAAAAAGGCTGGCCCTCTCCAAGAACCAAATTTTTAGATGGGCTGTCTTCCTTTTCTTCAGAAAAAAAAAAAATCACTAATTTCTGTCCCAACTTCAGAAGGATGCCAAGATTACGATGCAGGTTAGACAGCCTTCCAGATTCTTGCATGAGAAGTTCTGGATCACCAGTTAACAATGCCAAGAAAACAGGTTCACTAGGTGGCCCCGAGCTTGAAGTGTGGGGTTGTTAAAAGTAATTTTACACCATTTCCATAAATGTAACCTCTGTTCACATTTATTTTAGCCAAGATYTGAAAAAGAATACGACCAAATTGTATCAGAAAGTATCAGCAAAAATCATTTTATCAAAATCATTTTTATATCCCAATATTAGGAAGCCAATAAGAGTCCAAAGTACCTAACTAAATGTCATTATTGCTTTGTGTGCTAAAGCACACCATGCTGCTAGAGGACCCTCTTGAAGTCAAAATCTAGATGAGGGACAGGGAAGAACTCAAGTCCAGGATCTGGAGTTGCCCTAAGACATGATGACCACTTGGGGTGGAAAACTCAAGAGGCCAGTTCCAGAGATAAAACTATTCAAAAATGGTCAGGACTGCATCCTAGCCATAGGTTTGAAATTCTAGGAATACATGACAGCTGCATTATCAACCTGTGTTGTGGTTTGGATGTGAAGTATCCCCAAAAAGCTCATGTGTGAGACAATGCAAGAAGGTTCAGAGGAGAAATGATTAGGTTGTGTGAATTTTAACCCAATCAGTGAATTAATCCCCCTGGTGGGATTAACTGAGTGGTAACTGAAGGTGGGTAGGGTGTGGCAGAGGAGGTGGGCATTGGGGGTGTGGCTTTGGAGTATATATCTTGTATCTGGCAAGTAGAGTCTCTCTCTGCTTTTTGATCATCATGTGAGYTGCTTCCCTCTGCCACACTCTTTTTGCCATGATATTCAGCATCTCTAGGAGCCCCAAGAAATGGAGCCGGCTGTCTATGGATTGAGACCTATGAAACCGTGAGCTCTTAAATAAACTTTTCCTCCTCTATACTTGTGCTTGTCAGGTCTTTTAGTCAGAGCAKCGAAAAAGCTGACTAAGACAACCTGCTATCTGAATTCTAGAGGATTATTAGTTGAAGAATGGCACTAAGATGAAAGGCTGCAGTAGAGGATAACGGATGGAAAGCATCCATATTCCATGTTTTTATGTATCACAGATATGGCYAGCTGGGAGCAGATCAGTTCAATTTTTCAGCCATCATCTTCGTCTAATCCCTAGGAGTTCTAAATTAAATACTGAATGGAGAGAAAGTAGCAGCGAAGATTTCAGACTTTACTTCCTTCAAATGTCAATTTTAACTATAAAATGAATATAAATAAACTAAATCCACCAAAGAAAACCTGAAAAATGATAAATAGCTGTAATAGCTATTAAAATTGCAAATTTTTTATAAGACTTTATCACTGAAATGGCCTACCCTGACTACTCTGTACTATATACCATAATATTTTGCCCTTAGCTGAATAACCCAAGAATGTGACAAACCCCAATATACCACTCCCTCTGCCAGGTGAATAAATCATATGCACTATATTCTACATTCCCCAATGCCAACCTTCAATTTAAAGACAAGGAGAAGTGTCAGGGTGGTAAAATGAGTGCAGTCCTCTGAGTGTTAACAGGAAGACAGGAGTACAAGACTAGTTGAGACACCAGCCTAAAATTTATCAAACACATGAAAACACTTGGAGATGTCATTTTCAGTCACAGAACTTTATTTTTAAACCAACCCTATGTACCCAACAATTAAAGTTCAAAAAACTAAAACAAAACCCAAAATGAACATAAACAGCCATAGTTGTCTATATTGTACCATTCTAGTGGCCAARGAAGAATTCTACTGAATACCAARCAAAGGATGACTCTGGACTAGAGAAAGTTAGGGGCCTTGCTTCTGCTGTTATTGTAGTGGCTGCTGGCCTTCCTGAAGGACCCATCTGTGATTTTCCCATTAAATAAATGGACCTGTGGTCTTAATGACCAAAGGATCCCCTTTCCTAGAGGAAAAGACTAGTAATAAATACTTACATACAGTGTATCRTCTARTATTCCTTACTATCATTTCAGAAAGTCTTATTAAATAAAACGTGAACTACTTATTGAAATAGTGCCCATCCATGGTGACTCGATAATGATTCATTGAACAATAAATACCTTAAACTTCATCTCCACCTGTTACTCTTCCAACTCAGAAACTAACAAAACAACCTCAATTAAACACCCCTGGTTACTAATTTGTGCCTAATTCAAACAGGCCTAGCAAGAAAGCTAACTCCTAAGACTAATGCCATTAGTTCTTAGGTACTCTAATGCTTCATCCCAGCCTGGATAAGTTATCTAGTTACCTATACAAAATTCTGCTGCACAATCTATCCCTGGAAAAAAATATGGAAAATCAGGGGGAAAAAGGAGAGAAATCAGCACCCGTAACACACAGCATGCCATTCCTTCTGCGTCTATTTTTAGGCAGTACTTGGAGACACTATGGGACTTTTTTCACTTTTCCTTGATCATCCACTTTCTTAATGGCTTGCTGGRTAGCCTCTTGGTCACCCAGGAACTGATGAGGCCCAACAGCACGCAGGTTTTCATCCAGTTCCAGGAGAATTGGGAYTCCAGTAGGGAGAGTAATGTTAATAATGTCTTCATCTGAGATACCTGTTGAGCAGAAGAGAAAGGGACAAGTGTTAAAAACAAACTCCAGAGGGAGTTCTGTTTAATTGTTTAACTGCACATTGACTTAGTTCCATATTAACTGTTTGGTTGAAACCAGGCCAGGTGCTGTGAGGGTTTCCAACTACAATTTCATAATGCCGGGAACTTTCTAGAAATTTAAGGATTCACATCAAGTGCTGAATCTTAAAACAGTATATAACTTCTGGGGCAACCTGCTCCTGCCTAGTTACATGTGGAAGGAATTGAAATCATCTTTTCCACACTGGTCTTAAAATTAGGACTTTCCATTAATGTCTGAATCTAGTTCATTTGATGGGAATGTGGCTGGTTTTCAAACACTAAGTGAGCTTGGAAAACCCCAGGAATTCAAGCAGGAATTCTCCCCCAAGGCTTAGGGAACATAGCCCAGGGGAATCAGGAAAGGACTTTACAGTATGCTTTGTAAACAGCCCTCATTCTCCAACTGTCCCTTTACATCCCACTACTAGGAAGATATSCATAATGGACAGGTCACCTTTAATCCTTTTTTAAATACAAGTAAATTGTTGGTAATTCAATCTGAAGCAGAAGAATTACCATAGTTATAATGGTCACTGTGGTAATAACAATATTTTCATTATTACAATTACTTTTAACAATAAACAGCTAACATTCTGAGCACATACTACATGCTAGGTACTTTTCTTTTTGTAAGACAATTTCCCTAAATTGCCAAGGCTGGCCTTGAACTTGCAATCCTCYAGCCTTAAGCCTCACARGTAGCTGGGTTAACAGGTATGTACTACCATGCCTGGCTTACTTATTTTAAGTACTTTATATGTATTATATGAGGCTATAAGTTACTGTTTTCTCCATGTAACAATTTCTGGCACACAGAGGTTAAATAACTCAAGACCACACAGAGCAAACGGCAAAACTTGGATTAAAACACAGAAGTCTATACCTGGGCTTCTCCGAGTTCAAAACAGAAAAACAGAAGATATGAGAAAAAAGATGGAACAAACTAAAAAGCAACTGAAAATATTCAAATTATTTACTTTAAAAAAAACAATTGGCTGGGCACAGCGGTGCATGCCTATAATCCCAGCAGCTCAGAAGGCTAAGGCAAGTTCAAAGCCAGATTTAGCAATTTAGCAAGGCCCTAAACAACTYTGTGAGATCCTGTGTCTAAATAAAATATTTAAAAAGGGCCAGTTTGTGGCTCAGTTGTTAGGTGCTCTTGGGTTCAATCCTCCATACTCCAAACAAAACAAAACAAAAATTCAAAAAACATAAATGCTCTATAATCTCAGTGACTTGGGAGGTTGAGGCAGAAGGATAGCAAGTTCCAGGCCAGACTTGACAACTTAATGAGACCCTTTCTCAAAATAAAAGATTAAAAGGGCTGGGTGGGATGTAACTCAGTGGTAGAGGGCTCCTGGGTTCAATCCCTAGTAGGGGCAGGGGAAGGGGGACATAAGTGTTTTAATTACATAGACTTCTAAATTCTAATCAKATGTTTCTCTTCCATAAGATAGGAAGGATCTAGGCAGAGCAAATTGTGAGACGAGTCCAAGGTTGTCCTTATTTGATGGTGGCAGAATAAATTATTACTAGTTAACTATAAGTGCACTTTGTCATTTTAATAAGTCACTGGTTATAACTATACCAGCCAAGAGCCACAGAATCAATGCACTGAATCCTTACTCAGTGGGATGGCTCTTTATTCCAATTTCAGGTCTAGGACCAGAAGAGCTACCTACTAACTCTTATGTACAAACTATCCAAATTAGAACAACTATGAAACAAAAGAATCCTAACTTGTAAGAGATTGTCTCTTCCAAGTGTGCCGGCCAATCACTCCCCTCAATATACTAACTGTAAAGTTTTAGGTAAAAAATTTCTCTGGGCTTCCAATCCCTCTGTCAAGTTAAAAAGAGAAGAAAAAAGAAACATATGCTTTACCTTTCTGARCATTACCAAAGGTTGTGGGATAAGAGGACTAGCTTAAAAATGAACATACAAGGAAAAGTACCCATTTCTTCTACCCCTAACAGGTAGAGGACTTAAAGGGAAGACTGTTTGCCCTGCCCTCATCTCATGTTGCAATCTTACTCAGGATTATCCCCACAAACTAAAGCTGGCAAGAACAGATGCATTCAGACAGGCACCCAGCTGGTTAGCTGGGAGATGAGCGCTCTAAATTCTAAAAGTCCTCTGCCTCCACTGGGTCAGGAAATGTCTGCTGGCTGTGCGGGAGGGGAGTTCAATAGTATGTGGTTTAGAGCCAGGGCACCATTGGGGCTTACAATCCAGCAGTTCTCCCTCCGAAATCCAGGGAAAATTCTGGAAGTCCTCAATCTTGACTTACCCATCTAACCAGTAGCTGAGTACAGTACTCTAGAGAAGAACATGTGTGACTTTGGGCAGGATTTTACCTCCAATGAAATGAGGGAGGATAGTTTCTTCCAAAACCAGAGTTTCTCTATTTCATACTTAATGGTTAGGAAAAGCAGAGACATCTTAGAGGTCTGAGAAACACAGGGACACCAAGTACTTTCTATAATCATCTGTTGTGCAAGACCATGTTTTATCTGTTTCTAGAATCTATAAGCCTTGGAGAGAAAAAGAGATTTCACAGATGTCTCTAACTAATCTGGTTTCGTAGGTCTCAGTCATGGTTGGCTGGCTCTATTGCTCTGAGCCTGAGGTAAGGCAGAATATCATGGTGGAYGAGTATGACAGGAGGAAAGCTGTTCAGCTGATGGTAACCAAGAATCAGGGAGGGAGGAGAGGCAGGGACAAAATAGAGTCTAAGGTCATTCTCCAGTTACCTACTTCCTTTAGCCATGCCCCATCTGTCTACAGTTACCACCCAGTAGTCCATACAAACCATTAATCTACTAAATGGATTAATGCACTAACAGAGTTTTAGCCCTAATCATTGCCTAAAAGCCCCACCTCTGATTCTTGCTTTATTAGGGATCATGCTTTCAAAACATGAGCTTTTCAGGGAACTTTTCTAGGCCAAAACCATAGCAGTCCATCAACTAATAAACAGATAAATTAAATGTCACATAGTCATAAAAAAAGGAATATTATTTGAGAATAAAAGGAAATGAAGTACCCCATCCTGCTTACATGCTAAATAAAACATGCTAAATAAAAAAGCCAGTCACAAAAGGACCACATATTGTATGATTCTATTAATATGAAATGTTCAGAATAGGCAAATCCATAATGACATAAAGTAGATTAGTTACCTACAGTTAGGGGGAAGTGACATAATTGTGGGTGGTGACAGCAGAAGGGTACATGAAGGTAATGAAAATCTAATTAAACATTTATCTTCTCAGTCATCATTTCTTTATAGTGAAAACATTTAAAATCCTTCTAGTTTTTTTTTTAAGATATATAGTACACAATTGTCATCTATTGCCTCTCTATCGCACAACAGCACACCAGAACTTCTTACTTATATTTAATTATAACTTAGTACCCTTTGGTCAACCCTTCCCCACCTGCCTCYGAAAATAATTTAAAACTGATTGTGGTGGTAGATTTACAACTCTGTGAATCCATATCCACTGATTCCTCACCCATGGATTCAATCAACCAGGAATGGAAAAGACTTTTTAAAATATAGCTATATCACTTTTTGTTCTTGTCATTATTTCCTAAACAACATAGTACAACAGTATTTACATTGTATTATGTATTATAAGTAATCTAGAGAAGACTTAAAAGTAGATAGGAGGATATGTGCAAATGCTATGTCACTGTATATAAAGATCTTGAGCATCTGCAGATTCTGGTATCTGCAAGAATGTCTGAACCAGTCTTTTACGGATACCAAGGGACAAATATATACTAAAAAGCAATGAAGGGCTAGGTCTAGGTTTAGCTTAGTGGTAAAGTGCTTGCCAGTGTGCATGAGGCCTTGGGTTTGACCCACAGTACCATAACAAAACTAAAAATAATAAAATAAAAATCACTAAATTGTACACAATGAGTGATATAGATTGTATGTGAATTATACCAGCAAAAAAGCTGTTATACAAGTACTAAACAGGTTCAGAAAGGYTAAATAAACCTGCTCAAGTCACAAGACTGTTAAGGCAGTCAAAGTGGAGCTGTTATTAGATTTTGTTGCTGTTGTTATTGTTAATTTCCAAATCCTAGGGCTTACACTATAGTCATCTGACTTGTTTATGGTTATTTCCACCACCACAGAAGGAAAGAGGTGCAATGTTTATATTTTTTTCTGCTCTTGTGACAGGCTAGGTTCTCACTGGACACCAGCACCTGGTATTCCTAGGACTGAAAAAGGGCATAGACAGGTTTGGCTAGTTCTTGAAGTAGCTAACACACTGGAATTGTGATGGGGCAGGTTTAGGGTACTGTCTGCATGACCCCAAAAAAGGTTTGAGGTCTTTGCAAAGGAGCTAGGGCACATGTGGGACCCACTTGTTTGTCCATGAATTCAAATCTACCTAGGTCCTCTCTTTAACATTCTCAAACTCACACCTATAGCTTCGCTAACAACCCAGTTTTGTGTGAGTCCATTAAACAAAGGCCACCAGAAACATCATCTTTCACCTATAAAGGAAGAAGCAAACAAAAATACTTTTTTTCCAATAAATAAAGTTAATATTCCACTTTATTGACTCTTCAGGCCATTCACAGTACACTAATTACTTTAAAAATATTTAAAATACTTAGATTAGTTAATAATCAGTCAATGAGACTTAAGCAATTGAAATTTTAAAAGAGCAAATTAAGAAAAACCACAGTGAAGCCGTCACTCATTACTCAATCTTGGCATAAGCTATGTTCTACATCCTAAGGAAGTTAAGCCAACAGAACTCCTGAGGCTAGAACACTGAATATGCACTGGATTAAACCAAAGTGAATGAGGGGTGTATTATATAATCTTACTACAAACTCATTCACTGGGACATGACTTGAAAGCTAAAATGAGTGGCTAGCTAGCATATCACCTA